ACACACACACACACACACACACACACACACACACACACACACACACACACACACACATATATATCTTCTCTGTAAAATATATATTTTATATAAATTTATATAATTTTTATAGACATTTTTGAAAACTTCTTTATACGATTTTTTTTTTCACCGAAATATTTAACTTTTCGTAAGAAAATCGCGTTTCCAAATTTACGAACGAGTATAGTATAAACATTGTTGATTAAAAGATCGTCCATTTGAATGCATCTCAATTGAAGATCGGTAATACGGGTGCTCGAGTTCGTGCGAATCTTATCAGGCGCGTCCGATTAGCAATCACGGGACGGCCTCGCTCGACGTAACCACCGACTTATGGCGGGAAAAAGCCAACGCTATCGCAGACACGACTCACTGATTTCATACACGTGTCAATGCCAAATGTATATTGATGTGAAGGAATCGGATCCACGGCGCCGGCAGAGCGTGAGCTTTGTTCACACAAATTTTCACGCGTCGAGATGTCAATGCCACAAAACGGACAAAAAGTCTAAAGTTAAGCTGGAGATTTATTATTCCTTTCGAATATTAAACCGATATTTCTTTTGACTGTCTCTCTGTTGACACAGCGTATTCGCAGCTCCTGTTACTTTTTTTCTTTGTATTTTCTCATATACTTTGAGTAATTAGCAACTTGAATACGAACTTGCTTCGTGATAATGAATGTTAAACATTTTGTGGTGTTTTCAATAATCTCATTCATTTTCATGACTATGTAAATAATAAATTTGCTGAAAATATTTCTACAACAATAAAGCACGTTTCTAACGAACGAATGTATTAAGTAAACGTTACTTTATAAATCATTAAAAGCAAACTAATTTTTAACTTCATCAAAAATCATGATCTTTTTATAAAGTAAAATCGTTACAATTCAAAAGAGAGGATTTAAAAAAAAATCTTTAAAATCATCACCATTCAAAAAGGGATTTTTAAGAATTGATAAATAAAAATGACAAAAATAATATTTGAACCATATTAAAAATATATTTTTTTTACCGATATTATTTGTTAATAATTTTCTACCAAGCTGAAAAATAATTTTTCTCTTTTTTTGAAAAACTTAATTTTTTAAATAATATCACTTTTAAAGTAAGGGAGAGGTATTAATCGATTCGTTAGTATTAAATGCTCTCATTCTTGTTACATACAAGAGAAATATATTGATACATATAAATATGTTATCGGAGAAAGTAATACTATTCATTTCAAAATATTATATTTACATATCTCGATCCAAACGAGAAAAATAATGAAACTCTTTTTCCTATTCGTAAGTAATCTCAATTACTCGAGTAATGATAATAATAAAGCACCGATAATAACCGTGATGATATTTAACGCGACGAAGATCACAGTTCGCAACTGGTAGCAGCAATGATAGCACTTGTGCGCCAGTAAGTATTAGAGCTTGTGATTAAGATAACGACAGAATGTCAGCAATCAGCGCCAAGCGAATACGTAACCGCTCTAAAATATTTTTACAACCTGTTGCCAGGCGCCTGTACATGCCGCGCATCGCGCGAGTATTACATTTTCTCCACCGTGAAATATAGAGTTATCGCAGATTACTGCGAGAAAGAAAGAGATAATCGATCATTATTGCCACGATTTATAGTCTTTGCGAAACACAGTAGCATGCCTTTTCTCTTGTGCGCACCTTTTTGCACATTCAACATTTATCACAACTAAAGTGGTTGAAGGCAAATGATAATGTGTCGTGAATAAAAATGAACCATATAATAAATAAAAAAATAAGCCTTTTGAAACCTTTTGCAAAAATCGTTTAATGTATAGACATAAATGAGTAGATGAAAGTCGGCGATATTATAAAAATCAATACACTTTCACCGATAAACTTTTAAATTCAATCGAGAAGAAATTAAAAATATCGATTACGCAAACGATCAATCGAACATTGATTTATTCGAAAATTTCCATCATACACATTATTTTCCGAAGAATTATTTATTTTCTGTAATATATTCTGTAATTTTTTCATATTCCACAATGTATCGCTTCTTTACTTCAAAAGCGACACAATTAAAAAAATTAAATCTTCCAAAAAAAGAGAAAAACTATTTTTGACAGAAAATTG